CCGCAGATTAATGTATGATTAGATAGCACTTTTTAGACTCTAGGAGAAATGTTCCAAATGTATGCTTTAGATTTCGGGGAATTGGAAAAATCTATCCATCATTGGCAGGCTTTGCTTACAACGACAGCTCACACTCTAGTTTTCGGTATGGCACTATACAAGCCTTGTATGGCGGGAAAGGTTAGTCTCTGACTGATTGAGAACAGAATGTTGCTTGATTTTGAAACTAAGTAGATAATTATTAGAAGGATTAGAACCGTTGAATAAGAAAGTATTCCGAATTGTTTTCAGCTAAAGGAAAAATAAGTTTGGAGGACCAAACTTCCTAAAGGGGGGAAGATTGTGATAACCCTATCCTTTATTATGCTAATTGGTCCTTAATACAAATGTGATTAGGTGTTTTGATATGATTTTGTGTGCCATTAGGTGAAAATATGTGGTTTTGAATTTCTATCTGTTCACCGTAGGAATATCTATTTAATTGTGTGCTCTGGAAATTAAATTGAAGGCCTTATCGGCCACAGAATCCGAAATTGATTACGCCATTGTGATTGGCATAATTTTTAGAGCCTACGGTGAAATTTAATTGAAAATTGATTCGGATCAAATTAATTGGATTAAATAATGACTTAGTGCTCAAATATGTAATGTTGATGATTGTAATTAAGTGAAATGGTATTTAGTGGAGCATTTTACACCAACCCCTCTCTTTTTCTTCATTTGGTCAAAATCAACTCCAAGAGAGGAGATTGAGAGCCGAATTAGAGAGGGAAGGTGTAGAAGATTGAGGTTTTGGTCTTGAGGCTTGGAGATTTTGGAAGATTACTCAAGAAATTGTTTTGGATTAAAAGGTTTGAGCCTCTAGGTAAATGGATTCATGAATATTAACTTGTAATTTGTGAATTAGAGATTGATTGGTGATCAAGAACAAGAGTTGTGCTTTAATTGATGAATTTGAAGTTAAAAATGCACATGCATGTATAGGATTTCCATGATTTTGCATAATCAAACATGTATTAAGTTGAATGTGGAAGTATGAGTGTTAAATCATACACGCAAGCATGTTTTTGTTGAGTTTCATGAGAATGAACACCATTTGCATCATCTAGGTTGAGAATAAGGGTAATACATCACATGCATGTACAAATTATAAGAATAAGAGCTATAAATGCATGAATTTGCATGTTGGAAATGAGTTTGATGTCAATTAGGACATGCATGTGTTTGATTTATGAAATTGAGCTCCATATTGATGTAAATGGGTGTTTGTATCATGATAGCATAAACATATTTGAAGTTTGAGCCAAAAAAATATAAGTTGGATTGGTTTGAATGCTGGATTTGAGCTCAAGAACTCAGCTAGAAAACCCAAAAAATTGATGTCCGCTCGAGCGGGAAAACCGCCGCTCAAGCGTGAAGTTCGTGCTCCCAACACTTTTTGCAGACATGATGTCCGCTCGAGCGGGGAAGTTCACACTTGAGCGGGGAGCCACGTAGAGAGGCCTTCCACTCGAGCGCCAGAATGCACGCTCGAGCGTAAATTCGACATAGCCAATACTTTTGCAAGCCTCTTGGGTCCGCTCGAATGGGGAAGTCCACGCTCGAGCGGGGAACCTGCTTTTTGAAATTTTGTTTATGCATTCTGTGTTCCGTTTTCGTTCCTTTTCACTGCTAAGCACTCTTAGGCATACATTGAGCATTGTAAATAAGTTAGAAGAATAAGAATTAAGCCTAAATAGAAATATGTGAATTAAGAACGGATTGGATCGGTTGTGACCCATATGTGTTATGTGATGTGTAGGGTCAAGCTCCAGGGCAAATCAATCAGCCGATCACTGTTAGTAATATCTAACAAAGATATCTGAAATGTGTTATTGTCCAATTGCTTACGTCCATGTAAGTTTTATAAGATTCATTGATTCGATTGACATAAATGATTGGGTCGAAGGCCGATCGACATAAATGATTGGGCCAAAGGCCGATCGACATAAATGATTGGGCTTAAGGCCGTTTTGACACAAATGAAAGTTTGACATGCATGAATGGGCCAGAGGCCTGTCACGACCCAAACCCGCCCCGAGAAGGTTGGCATCGAGACCGGCCAGTAATCCTAGATTACCACAGGCCTTTCTGTACAAACATACATAACCGGGGCTTGCGGAAGCGAAAACAAAACACTGATAGTCCAAAGAGCTGTGCATTTATATGAACATACATTACATGCCAAAAATGTTAATTTACCCACTACATTACATCACATATAATCAAAATTCATGTACAAAACATAGGCTCACGCCACATGTACAACCAAAACCAAGCTTCCTAACGGCCTTCTAGGCCTAGCCCCAACTCGGAGGCACCAAAACACCGGGTAGGCTTCAAAACGGCGGCTCGGCTCGAACTCCGCCTAGGCTTGACTCCCAGAGTGCTCACCTATAATTACATATATACAAACAATGAGCTAAAGCTCAGCAAGTAACATTAAAAGGATGAAGCATGGCATTCAAACATGTAAATTTCAGTACTGAAACATGATGCTAAATGGTCCCGAAACATGGAAATATGGCACCCGATGCATGGAATAAGCCCCGAAACTCAAAACTAGGCACATGCATTGAACCACAAGCGCACAAAGCAAGCATTATTTGATCATG